TCCCTCCCTCTCTCCCTCCTTTTCTCCCTTCCTCCTTCCCTCCCTCTCTCCTTTCTGGCTACTGACTACCACAGGGTAGTCAGTACCACAGCTTTGCTTCACCACTTACTCTGGGCCACGATATTATGTTTCACCACAGATTCCAAAGCAATGTAATCAGTCAGTCATGGACAGAACTGTCCAAAACTGTGAACCAAATACACCTCTACTCCTTCAGGAACAGTCTCCTCAGCTCTGTTGTCACAGTGAGACAGAGCTGCCCAACACAGACCATGGAAAATTTCCACTGAAAATGCAGTTTTAGGACTTAGAAAAATCCCATGTCTCTCTTGGGAAAAGCAGGCCACAGAGGCAGAAAGAATAGTCACCATGTTGCACATTCTAGACCTGCACACAGGCCTTTAAAAAGCAGACGTGTTTTTTACCTCCTCTTTCTCTTTCCATGAGGTTGACATGGTTTATTTATGCGGCTCTCACCTTAGGTGTGAACTCTAAATTAAACACTTACCGTGTTATCAGTTAATGCATGAGAAACCCATCCAGGCAGCCGAGTGAGTGGGCTCTAAAACCAGGTGTAACTGAATGCATATAAAAGGGGTTCAACAAGGTGATCTTTATGTCCTGGACTCCTGGGAGGTTTTCCTTGAACTGGTTCCCGTCATCAACAGCCTCGCATTCTTTTCTGAAGGACAGTTGAGATCATTGTAACCATAATGAGGCTATATGCTGTGGAAGTCTTGAAAAGCCCGGAGGAGGGAGTGAGCCCGCAGAGGACCCGCCACCGGCCAGCTTTGCCGTTGTGCGCTGCCTCTTGTCTGGAAGCACAGTCTCCCCTCCCCAGGACTCAGGATAACTACAAAAAGTGAAGCGAGGCTCTAGGAGAGGCCACCGGTGTTAAGCACGTTAACGTTTCCATTACGTCTAAAAGCAGAAAATGGAACAAATACCGCGGGTTGAATTTTCCCCCCACTATAATGTATGCCAGAATGTCACAGGAACTCATTGTCTGCGATGAATGCGAAAACACGGGCAATTCAGACTGAACAATACCCGCGGCAGCAAGTCTATGAAAGCACCTCATCCGCGCAAGTTTCATCTGCTGTGGTTCTGCCCCCGTTTTCTTCACCGACGAAGGCCGCTTCTTGGATAATATGGTCTTTAAAGTTTAAGCTGCCTGCAGTAGTGTTTCTTCTATCTCCTGGCACTCTCTAGGCTTCTTAAGCACTAGAAATGCAGGATGAAATAAAATAACATGTGTTTCCTGCCTGGCCTCTCAGGTCCATGTGCTTAGTGAAAATGTCCAGCATTTTTTCCAGGAAGAGAGTGTGGGGTCGGAGGGATGTGTGTTGGTACCTGTGGGAGGTAGCTTTCCTTCAAGGTAGGACTGGTCCATCAGTCTAGTGTTGGTCCAGCCCTGGCAGGTGCACATCCACACTTACTTCTCAGCAGGAGCCAGGATCGGCCACCCACCAGGGCGTGTGGGCCGGAAGCCTTCCTGTACTTGGAAGGGAGGATGGTGGCATTTTCTGCCTCCTCGGGGTGTCCTGTTCTTAATGGAGGAGCTTATGGGACTCAAAAGGGCTCTTGGCCAGGAGCTGCCATGTTTGGCATGAGAGCTTGCAGGGAGTCATGGGGAACGGGTGGCTCTTCCTGGGGGACAGGGGTTAAGTCTAGGAGACAGAGACTAAAAGAAGGCGTCACTTGAGCTTCTGTGAGCCTGGGTCATGTCTCTTTCATGGTGTCTTTGGCAATGGCTGCCGGTTGAGAATAAACTAGGTTACAGACACCCTACCACCATCACCACTATAGATAGCTCCCCCCAGCCTACCAGCCCAAAGCCAACACATTCCAATGGATTTTAGCATTAGGCGCAGTACACAAAGACACAAAACAGACCTGTATCTGCTTCAGAGAACAGAGAATGGGGCTTTCTGGAAGACTCCGTGTATTTAATGACATTCGGTTAAACTTTATCTTTACTGCCACCCCTGCCCTCGTGTGTGTGTGTGTGTGTGTGTGTGTGTGTGTGTGTGTGTGTGTACCAGAGGTTAGTCCTCGATGTCTTCCTTAATCACTAGCCACCTTTCTGAGTCAAGATCTCTCACCGAACCTGGAGCTAGCCAATTTGACTCCAGTGGCTGGTTGGCCCCATGAATCCTCTTGTCTCTGCCTCCCCAGGGCAGGAATTACAGGTGTGTGCTGCCATGATCAGATTTTTTACATGGGTGCTCGGGTCAAATTCAGGTCCTCATGCTTGACTGGCAAACACTGTGTCAGCCTAGTCATCTCCCAGTCCCATATTCATTATTTCTTTGTGATGATAGTAATCAAAATCCTCTCTTTTGCTCTGTGTTTTGCTCTCTGTTTGTGGGACTATGGATAGAGCCAGGGACTCACACATGTGAGACAGGCACTCTACACACCTCCACATCCCCATCCCTTTTCCAGCTGTTATGAAGTAAACAGTTTAATTCTAGTTGCTGTGCTGTGTTCTATAGGAGCTTGGTCTTTTCTGTGTTTTTGCACCCAGTGACAAGTCTGTTTTGTTACCACGATGCGAAGCTGAGGAACATGAGTGCCTGCATCTGGTTTGACATCAGGGTGTCTCCAGACTGATCCCATGTGGTTCACCAACACCAACGTCCTCAAATCTAACCCATCCTCCGAACCAGGAGCTCTCCAACACTGGAGATGTTCATGAGTACACGCTCGGTGCCGCCAAGGCGACTGCTTACAGAGGGATGCTCTTTGGGATGTGATGGAATGGTGGCTCCTTAAAGGTAGGAGCTGGGAGTCTTCCTTTTTCTTTCTTTAACTAGTACCAAACTAAGACTTTTTAAAAAAAATGTAAAATCAATTATCACTAATTTTTATTCTCATGTTCTCCTCTTGGTCCCTGACTGTTGCTCATAATTATTATTATTTTTTTAATCTGTTGGGTTGTTTGAGACTGAGTGTGGCTATGTGGCCCAGGCTGGCCTTGAACTTGTGTTCCCCCTCCCCTAGTTTCCTGAGTGCTGAGATTAGAAGTAGGCCGTGATCAATTTATGTGAACAATAAGCTCCTGTCTAGCGGCAGTGGCAAACTTACATTCCTGCCTGACTTGGCCCAAGACAAAAGCAGATCGGGGGGAGGGGCGGGGAGAGGAAGTGCTCTGAAACTGAATTATCACCAATCTTTTCTCCTTTCCATTGCTGTCTCTTTTTGTGTTTTTTGCTCGCAGAAATGGTAAGACTTACCAATATTCTCAGAAAAAACATAATTTTGGACGTATCTGAGAAGTTGCATGTGAGTCCAAACCCAGGGAAAGCCACACAGAAAATCATGGTGGAGCACACGGTAGAGGGGCTAGCTACTCATCTCATGGTGGCTGAGAAGTATAGGCGAGGTAAGGAATGAGGGTCCAGACACACCCTGCAAGACACACCCACTACAGGCTAATCTCTCACTAGTCTTTACCTCTTCAGTGCCCCCATTATCTCCCTAGAGAATAATGCTGTGTGGACTGAGGAGGCCAAGGCTTGGTGCTTGGGTCTTTGGGGAACACGAATCCAAACTGTGATCTTTAAACTGTCTCCCATATTTAGAAGTTGAGGCCGGGTGGTGGTGGCACACACCTTTAATCCCAGCACTTGGGAGGCAGAGGCAGGCAGATTTCATTGAATTCAAGGCCAGCCTTATCTACAAAGCAAGTTCCAGGAGAGCCAGGATGGTTAACACAAAGAAACTCTGTCTCAAAAAAAAAGTAGAAGTTGAGTTTTTGTTTTGATTTATGAATTTTTAGAGGGAAATTAAAAAATGGACATGGAATTTTCCAAATTTTAAAATAGAAACTAAGCTCAGAGGGAATGTGTGTGGCCTTTGCAGGATTGTGTATTGCTAGATTTCATGTCTTGACTCAAATTCAGTGTCTGTCACTAACTCAAAAAAACCACAGAAAGCCCTGCGAAACTAGTGCCCAGCTCAGCCTGGGTTCACAAGTTCTACTTTACACTTATTCTAGAGTTCCAGTGATGCTCCTCGATGGTTGAGTCAGACCATTGTCCTCTCACGGGAACCCCCCAGCTGTGTAAACATCATAGAAACTGACTGGTCCAATTCACAGACACGAAAATCCACCCACTGAATGGTGGATGTCAGGACAAGAGAGAATGAAGTGGGGAGTTCCTGATCAGCCGCTGTGAAGTTTCACCTGCAGAAGGTAAAAGAGCCTTGGAAGTAGATGATGAGGGAGCATTGAGGAGGTCTGAACAACAGGTAAGCTTCTTGTCGCCACACCATATGCTGAACACAGTTAAAAAGGCATGTTTCAGCTTATGTGCATTTCTCAGAATTTCAATAAGTCAAAATAATACCAACAACAGAAAGAGACTACGAGGAAGTGAAATGGGCTGGGTGTGAGGGTCTCGTCAGGAGGCTGAGGCACAAAGATTGTTGTGAGTTCCAGGCTATGGAGTTGAGACCCTGCCTCAAAAATACTTACTATATGCCTATTCCTGGATATTTACTCTCAAATATTCCAAGTCAGCAATCTCACAGAGAAGTTATGGGACACACCTAGGTGTCCAGCAACAGGGGACTGGAGGAAGAAAATGTGGTTTATAGACACTAGAAAAGTGTTTCAGCAGTAAAGGAAAGTGAAGTTATGTTATTTGCAAGAAAATGGGCACGACTAGAGAGAATCACATTAAGTAAATGAAGTCAGGTTCAGAAAGGCAAATGTTACATCCTTTCTCTCACTTGTGGGTCCTGTACTTTTTTTTTTTTTTTTTTTGGTTTTTTGAGACAGGGTTTCTCTGTGTAGCTTTGCGCCTTTCCTGGAACTCACTTGGTAGCCCAGGCTGGCCTCGAACTCAAAGAGATCCGCCTGGCTCTGCCTCCCGAGTGCTGGGATTAAAGGCGTGCGCCACCACCGCCCGGCCCCTGTACTTTATAGATACAGAAATCACTTATCTACAGAGGACATGAAAGCAGAATTAAAGCTGTCTAGTAAAACAAAGGGGACTCATGAAAAGGGGGAGTGGCGAGAACTGAAGAGTAATGAGCTGTGGAGGAGGGGGGATGTCTTAGTGAGGGTTTCTATTGATGTGATCAAACACCATGACCATAAAGCGAGTGGGGCAGGAAAGGGTTTATTAGGCTTACACTTCAGCATTGCTGTTCATCATTGAAGGAAGTCAGGACGGGAACTCAAACAGGGCACAATCCCAGAGACATGGCCTCTGATGCAGAGGCCATGGAGGGGTGCTGCTTACTGGCTTGCTTCCCATGGCTTGCTCAACCCACCTTCTTATAGAACCCAGGACCACCTGCCCAGGGATGGCACCACCTACCATGGCTGAGTCTTCCCCCATTGATCACTAAGTGAGAAAAATGCCTTGCAGCTGGATCTCATCAAGGCATTTCCTCAACTGAGGCTCCTTCCTCTTTGATGACTCTAGCTTGTGTCAAATGGACACATAAAACCAGCCAGTACAGGGGGATATCCTCAGGTACATTATATACCTGCATGAAAATGGCCTTCTATAACCTTGTATAATATAATAAAAACCAAGCCAATCAGTAGATTTGATTCCCATTTTACTGTTTACACATCAATTCTGCAGCCCAGAAATTATCCTCTGATGTGATACTACTGTGCCTTCGTTGCTGTGGGCAAGTGGCCGTCTGGAGATGGCATTTTTGAATTCTGCACCTTCCTGCCAGTGGCTAAATTTCCTTTACAGCTTTTATGCTTACAGAACATTTTGGGTTTGGAAACAAACTGCTCTATTCACCCCTTCAGTGGAAAGGTGGCTTCAGTGGTGGCAACAGTGACTGTCAGGGATGCAGGCCAAGGCTACTGTGAATGAGACAGGTTGGATTCACCAGGAACCAAGACCCAGGGTGGGGTGGGGCTGAAGTATTTGAGGTTCCTGGCTGCACTCTGCTCTTCATTATCCTGGAAGCAACCGCGTGTCCCCGTCCTTAACAATTGTTGTTCAAGGTCGTTGTGGATGCTCTGTGATTGTAAAGGCCCTTTCAGGCCCACCCTTGTCATGTGACAGCCAGGCAAGCCACCAGGCCTCCCTGTTCAGGGCGAGCTGGGTTTTTATAATGGCAGTGACTGCTCTTCACTGAGAAATGTTCAGATCACTGGGGACAAAGCTGCTTATCTAAAATAAGGGGAAAGTCCCTGAGTCCCCTGGGTAGATCATCTAACAAAGATGACCCTTTAAACTTGCAGCTTTCTAAATAGTGAGGGCTAAGTCAACCCCAAGTGCTTCCAAGTGAAACACCCATTGAGTGTGGCCTCCCCGATCTGTGACAGTTCTAGGCTTGGAGATTAATCGTGTGGTGGGATGGATCTTCCTGCCTTTGAGTCTGCAGAAGCATCATGCTCACAGAAAGATGCTTCCTCAGACTCAATCATCTTCACAACTTGCTAGGTTTGTGTTCTAGTCACATGTTGCTTACAGTTACCTTGAACATTTCATTTAAATCCAATTAAAAATCTTTCTTAGCTGTGGGCTATGGCTGGACTTACCTGAAGACAGGTGTGTGGGCCACACTCCGGAGGGTAGAAGGCTGGGGTAGTGGGGTGGTGGTGGTGGTGGTGGTGTCTCCGCTATGCCAAGGATGCACTTCTCAAAGAGTGTTCCAAGCCATGTATCCCAGCAATCACGAACTTGATATGACTTTTTTAAAAAGTATGTGTTTGAATTGCAGTCAGAAAATGTCACAGGTACCTCTTTGGTCTTCTCAAGAAGTGGGCAGAGTCAGAAATGGTCCTGTCTCCTGACAGCCACCACGCATTGGTGTCAATGTATTTACTCAGTGAAACATGTGATCCCTACTGACTTGATGGTGAAGGATGCTGAGGGCAAGTCCTCACTCCCCCTTGCTCCCCACCCCAGTCCCCATAAAACCAGGAGGGCTGTGGCTGTGACCTGGGACTACTGCTTCTCAGCTCTGTGGCATTTGTGAATTTGAGGTCTGGTAAAATCACAGCTTTGAGAGAAACTGGGTCATACTCTCTTGGTGACCTTTATGTCCCACCTGGCAACATTCTGAGCTACAGATGACTAGACACCCTTAGACAGACTTACATGAAAAGGAACTCACTGGCTCATGTAACTGAAAACTGTGAGTCTAGCTTCTTCTGTGGTTGGATCCAGGAATAAAAGAGTGACATTGGGCTTGGATTCGAGTGTCTTCTGTTTCCAAAGCTGCCTCATCTTTTCTCAGGTTCATGCTTGACAGAGGATGGTCACCCAGGCCCCATGTTTAAGTTGCTAGCTCACAGCTCTTGTCCTAGCAATAGTCACTCAGCTAACACTTACCAAATGGCATGGGGACTGATTCTACTGATGGGTAGATTTGGCTCTTCTTCTTGTCTTGAAGCTGGGTGGCAGGCCAGCAACTGCTTTAATCTAACAGCTTTAGAGGATAAAGGTTTTCCAAAGGCAACAGGGGTTGTTACCAAAGGGAAAGGTATCTGGAAGGAAGTAGGCCACAGAGGCCAGCTCAGGCCCACAAAGGTCTCACCAGCAGCAGTTCACAGCTCAATCCTGCAAGTAAGTCCAAGACATTACAACCCTGGCCTCAATTAGTATCTCCTGGGAAGATTTTAGACCACCTAGATTCTCCCCTCTCCACTGTAATTGTTATGAATAGGATGAAGCTTTTGAAAGGTTCAATTTTGTGTAGAATAGCAAAATTCATTCTGGAGATCAATTTTGGAGGAAAGAATGAACATGTGAAGTTGCCTGATGCTATGGTACATGGTAGAGAGGGTGTTGACCATCTGACTGGTCAGGGGATAGGAATTTCTGCTTTGGTGGCTGAAGCAGGTGAAGCCATAGAAGCTTGAGGTGAGGGAGGACAAAGAGGGAAACACAGGGTCAGAGTTGGAGCACTTTGGGCCTCAGGACACCAAGATAGGGGCAGGGGGCTCAGGCTGGAGGAATACTTCTGTCCCAAACCCTCTCTGAGAACAGAAAGAAAGAAGAAAGTTCTTTGCCACCTCCTAGAGAGGGTGGCAACTTTAATGGGGACAGTTGTAGACCAGAACCTTAAGTTTGGGGAGATGAGTGAGATGAGAGGTGATGTAGACATGTGGGGAAGTCTTAGGACATGATGGCTTAAGGTAGAAGCACTTCCTGGAAGGATGGCACATTCAACCTCCTACAACAAGGAGACAGAAGTCATAGTAATGTCACATGCAACCTCCAGACCTGTGATCTGCTCAGTATGGTGATATTTTATTTGTACTGAAATGTGATTTTATTTGTATGTTAATAAATAAAGTTGCCTGGGGGTCAGAGCTAATAGCAAGCCATCGCAGAAGCTGGGCGGTGGTGGTGCATGCCTTTAATCCCAGCACTTGGGAGGCAGAGCTAGGTAGATCTCTGTGTGTTCAAGGATACAGCCAGCATTGGAGACACACACCTTTAATCTCAATACCAACCATAGAAGACCTGGAAGTCTGTACAGACAGGCAGTGACAAGGCGGTCATGTGGTTGGGTTTACAACCAATGAGAAGGCAGAACAGAAAGTCTTTATAAAGATAGACACACAGGAAGTAGGTTTCTTTCAGAGAAGTAGGACCACCGTGATATTGAAGGGTAATGTTTTTAGCTCTTAGCTCTTAGCTCTGACCTCTTGGCTTTTATCTCTGTATTGGCTCTGTGTTTCTTATTTAATAAGATGGTTGGTTACTTCTACAGCTCAGCGACGATGTGGTGTTTTGATTGGGGAAAAAAAGTAAGAGGCATGGTGAACATATTTGTAAAGGGGTTGCATCCAGTGAAGTACCTTGGGGTGGGCCTTGGTGCAGAGCAGCAAACTAAAGGTGCTGAGAAGGTCTACAGTGCAGGGAGTCCCTGTAAGGTTATCCTTGCTTGAACATCTACAAAATGCTCCTGAAGGGGGTAAAGACAGCAATTGTCATCCTATGCATCAGGTTCATAGTGATGCCTCTTCCCCAGACTGTCTATTTCCTGAAGCTGAGATGTTCAGCTTGAAGAAGTAACCAGTGATGATGCCCTCCAGCCTCAGCATGACGTGAGGGTTTTCATGGTTAGTTTAATGAGAAACTTGGCTACTTGATAAGGCTGGTGGTGCCTAGGTTCTGCTGTTTGTTTTAACAACCTAGAGCAAAAGGTAAAGGTTAAATGTTGACAGTCTCAGGCCATTGTTTCCTGGTCCAGTGTTTGAGATCACAAGCAACTATTGTACACCTGGCGCTAGTCACTGGTTGCTGAGTGTG